TGCGTCGTTAGCCCTTCCGCAAAGCGCCCGAGCAGCACGGACATCGGGGACCCAGTGGACGAAAGTGCCACTTGCTCGCGGCAGGACTCTATATGCTCACCCAGCAGCATTACAGCGAAAAGGAATCAAGGTGACAACTCATTACTCGGAGCTGTTTGATGCGGATGACGAGGATCCGGCAGAGGTAGAAAAATCGGAGGAACATCCTCCAGCTCGAGACGTCGTGGAGTTATCTTCAGGTAGTGAGCAGGGGCTAGAACCGAAACCAGTCATCACAGCAGCTGCGAAGGCCAAATTGCATCTAGTGAAGACGAAGTTGCCCAAGCTGCCGGAAACATCCCAACTCATCGCATTAAAGCAGCGTCAAAATGGAGTTATAGGCAATATCCTCCAAGAATTGCGAGACAGTCATGGGAGTAGCTTGCCACTTCATCCTGACTCACTGGAAGAAGCTGCGACGTTCGAACAGATTGAGAGCAGTCTAGGCATGAAAGAAGTCTCTACCCCAGCGTCCGGAAATTGTATGGCGATGGCGATTTCGCAGGCACTGGCAGACCAAAATTTGGCAGCCAAACCTGCAACGATGGAAAAGTTAACAGCGGCGATCAAACGGGGAATCTGTTGGGCAGGCCAGCTCAACTGTATGGAGCAATTTGATCATTTCACCCGGACCACCACCTTAGTGAATATGGGGAGGGGATGGGAAGGAATGGGTCCGAAGGAATCGAGCAAACAGTTTAGATGGTATCTGCAAGAGTATGCGGCCTCCTCCTCCAAGATATTAGACTCAGTATCAAGATACAACTGGGGTTCCAGTGAATTGATGGCCACTGCAGCGAATTTTCTCCGTAGACGCATCTTCGTCTTAGCTTTTGACACTGATGAAAAAAAACAATGGCACTGCTCGGAGTATCGACCGAGTAGTATGACACGGGGCAGAAAATTTTTCGAAACTGGTCAACAGGTCCCGCTTCAGCTACAGGAATGTCTTCAGAGAATCTATCAAGCCAAACTTGACGACCCACAGACTGGGCCGCTAGTTCTTCGCTTCTGGGGCCGCCACTACTCGGCTTTCGTACATTCAGCGGCTTTCCAAATCCCCGTCGCAACAGTAAACACGCCATACGAGGAAAAACGGGAAGGGCCGCTGGCAAGGGATGCAGACGTGGACATGAACTCGGAACCACGCGAAGTAGCGAGCTCCGATCAAGCGCAAAGGAATAATGATGATCCGTGGGATCCGACGGCCTGTGATGGTGACTTAGATGAACTCAAGAGACGGCTCTCCGGCTTATCAATTCCGCATGACTTGAAATGTGAAATACACGTCATTCTCCAGCAGGCGGAACCGACCCGGTTCGACGAACTTTTAGCCTTCCTGGTTAATACAGCTATGCAACTCACGTATGCAGAACGACAGGCGTTGGTCCGGTTGGATCTAACAAAGGAGAACGACCCTGAAATTAGGCAGCTCTTGCAGAAATATCAAATCTCCAAAGTTGTCTTACAGCAGTGGAAATCAACAGTTCAATCGGCGCATACGAGAGTGATTCAGCGCGATATGATCAGCGAAGGTGCAGCGGAGGAAGAGACCGCATCGTTATACGAACCATCGTCCGGGAGTAGCCAGGACAGCTCGCAGCCAACAGTAACACCCCGGCGAACCAAGCAACCCCCTCCGAAAGCGCCCACCAAACGAGCACATACGCTCACGCCAATGGAGTGCGAAGCTATACGACAAGGAGTGAAGGCCAAACGAGATCACACTAATCAGCAGTTGCAGGAAGCTCCGAAGCAAGCAGACCAGACCATGGTGCCCACGCTTCCGACCAAGCCTGTCCGAGAGGCTTGGCCAGAACAATGGCAACAAATGCAATCGATATGGCCATCGACAGCGAGCGCTCCATTCCCACTTGAACAGAGCACTGAAGAAGAATGGATCTTGACGGCAAGAGCGGAACCTACAATGCTTCTCCACATGATCCAACGCTTTGCATTCCCTGAAGAACTTATGGCCTCCCTTAGTGACAAGACGCTCATGGAATGGACTTCCCAATGGAGACGAGACTGCGTGCAAGCCAGCCTCATCGCGTATCGTAGTCGCTCGGATGATCGGGGCACTCTCAGATGGTTAGATGACTGGAAGGCGCGGTTCGCCAGAGCGCCGCCAAATAATTTAGCTCCTCTGGTGGATAGTAGCGACGATTGGGTGAAACTCCGGAGTAGAGGCTACGGAAAAGATGAAGTCCTTAAGCTATGTGACGTGGAAAACAAGAGGCGGCTTGCTCAACATCTACTTTGTGCATTGATTTACGAGAAGGAGATTCGAGCAATTACGGGTCGGGAAAATGAAAATGAGAATGGAGCACTCACACGTTTGAAGCGTCACCTCATAGCTTTACAAGAAGTAGACGACTTCCGGAAGGCGTACTCAACAGAAACAACCTCGGTGGATTGGTCAGCTCTCGCGCGCTACTTTTCCACGGCCCTGGAGAAGAGGGTGGATGAGCGCGATCACCCTTATTAAGGGTGAAGAGATGCAGCAGCTGCCGCGACAACACAATCCAAAAAGCGGAGCTGCTGGAGACGTCTACGGGCGTCTGATTGCTCTACGCGAGGAGAAAGCAGGCGTAGGAAGGAAGAGGAAAGGCAAGGTGGAGTCGTCAAGATTCCTGACACAGAATGTGAGGGGGTTTAAACAGGAAACCCAGTTCGGCTGGTTACGAGCGTGGCGTAGAATACCGGTGAGGGAACGCCCGGTGGCTTGGTTACTTCAGGAGACGCACATCAGCTCAGAGGATGAAGCGGACACACTGGAGGAAGCATGGAAGCAGCTTTGGGGGAAGCAAAACGAGAAAGACGGCCCTCGCTTATCATATTGGAGTGTGCACAGCTCCAAGGTAGGAGGGGTGGCGATATTACTCAACCCGGATCACTCCAAGGAGGCCAAAGCATGGAACGTAGGTCACTGGACTAATCGGGGAATAGCTGTCCGAATCGGAGGGCAACTCGTAGTAAATGTCTACGCCCCCAATGTACCGGTGGAGCGAGAAGCATTCTGGAAACAACTCAGGCAATGGCAATGGCCCAGATGTGAAATAGTGTTGGCCGGCGATTTTAATTGCGTGCAGAGTCCGCCACTGGACAGGATGGGTGGACAGCGAAGTGCGAAACCCGAAAGTCCAGCGCTACGGGAGCTCGTGCGCCACCTCGACCTGGAAGATGCTGTGACGTTAGAAGGAGCGGTAAATGAAGACGAAGAATATATCGATCCCACGGAATTCTTTACGTATTGGGGAGCAGAATGTGCGAGTCGGATCGACCGTTTCTACGTTCCAACCGACTGGACGAACAAGGTGCACTGGGTGGAAGTTAAGGAACCAGCGGCGCCCTCCGATCACCAGTGTGTCTGCCTTCACCTACGGAATCAACGCCAGCAGCACCAACGACAACTCACGAACCGTCTAATTTCATACCCCATTCGGTCCTCCCGCCCAGCGCGGGTACAAGCAGAGCTAATGGCCGAACTGATAGAAAGAGGGGTGGGAAAAGGAGTAACGAGCAGGACTTGGGACCGCACAGCTGTCGAATGTGTACACAGCATCAAGAAAATTCAGCATCAGGAGCGTAGAAGAAGGAAGAAAGCCAAGCATCGAGCGAATGCGCAAAACCGAGCGCATCTGCTTACAAGGCGGGATCTCCTCCACCAAACTGAAGAAGACATGCGCGAAGAACACGAGATTCGTCTAGGTCAGAAGCTGGAGAGAACGATTGAGCAAATCCGGTGGAATTTCAAGAGGGTATCCAACTGGGAGAAGGACCAAACAATCACTGATATCCACCATGTCCACGGGGAGAAGTTTGACCGACACATGAACATAGCAGACAAGGTCGGGTCAGAATGGAAACCCATTCTCGGAAGGGTGCACAGCCAAATACCTTTGGAGCAGTTAGAAAGTGAGTTCGATCAGTTTGTGCTCGTGCCACAGGACAGGCACGTGACACCGGAGCAGAATGAAGTCTTGGTGGCAGAAATTATGCAGGAGGAAGTATTGACTGCCATTGCGAACCTCAATAGACACAAGGCAGCGGGGCCGGACGGTCTCAACAACGACTTCTTCAAAGACGCGCAACCTCTGCTGGTTCCAGTAATGGTGGCAATAGGCAATGAGTTGCTTAAAGGGGCAGAGCCGCCACCGTCTTTCCTTGAAGGACTGATCATCCCGTTGAGAAAAAAAAGAAAATTCAACAGATGCGATGGACTATAGGCCTATCTCTTTACTGCAGACTGGGTATAAAGTCTTCATGAAGGTGCTAGCGGCCCGGATGCAAAGGGTTCTGGGGAGACCAATTGGCGATTCTCAACAGGGTTTCATTCAGGGGCGTCAAATGATGAAGACGGTCATGATGATGCTGGCGGTGATCGCAACAGCACGTGGTGAACCTGACCTAGCAGCATTGCTCAGCAGAGTCATTATTCTGCTCGATTTCAGGAAGGCCTACGACACGGTATCTCGCGATTTTCTCTTTCTGGCGCTGAAAAAATTTGGCTTTTCGAAAGAATTCGTCAACTTGCAGCGACGGCTCCATGACGGAACAACAGCGAGGTTTCTCGTCAACGGAGAGCTCTCAAGAGCACAATTAGTGGTATCGGGCATTAGGCAGGGGTGCCCGGTCGCGCCGCTGCTCTTCATCATCGCAGCAGAGGTGCTGGCTTTAGCCATTCGGCAGGACCCAGAATTGCAGGGCATTGAAGTACCGGGAGCAGAAGATCAACGACACTTGTTTTCGGCCTTTGTAGATGACTCTACTCTATTTCTGCAGCGAGCTCAGCAGATCCCCCGAGCCATGCAGATTGTAGAGCGCTTTGGTAGACTGTCTGGTCTACAGGTCCAGCCAGCCAAAAGCATGCTCATCTTCCTGAATAAGGCAGTCGAGTTGACTCAGTTCCTTGGCCTGCCGGTCCTGAAACATGGAGATACGGTCCGTTATTTAGGCTATCAAGTGGGCACCGGAACGTTGACGGATGTGAATTGGGCCACACGCATTCGGAACATTCAGCGAAGGCTGGCAACGGCAACGAGATTAGCGACCAGTGTGGAGCATCGGGTGACGATCTTAAATGTTATTATGCTACCGTCCGTGCTGTTCACTGCGGCAGCGTTCGAGATGCCCCTATGGGCAGAGAAGCAGATTCTCAACCTGCAAAAACAGTTCCTATGGAGACATAGCACAGCGACAGATACGAGTCGGCACAAGGTGAATCCGGGACTTGTATATGCCCCAAAGCCGGCAGGAGGAATGGGGCTAGCATCAGTTCCTATAGCATGTCAGACCCAGAGAATTAAACACACCATACTGTGGCTCGTGCAACGCAAAGACACTTACTGGTTTGCATGGAAGGCTTGGGTCTTTCACGGATCAACGAGTGAGTGGGGTGAAGTTATATCTCCGACTAACGTGACCGCTAAGGTAGCCACACGAGTCAGAGGACAGCCTGGGGAAAGAGTGCAGCAGCTGATGACTACTTGGCTCCAACCACCTGATGACCTTTCAGCAGACTCCATCTTGAAGTACCAGACGGATCTTGAGCAACTGGAAGTAGACTCTCTTAGCTGGACTGTAGCCGGAAGATGGATCATCGAGCTACCAAGGGTATTGGTGTCACCGAGGAGGGGGCTGACGGCGGTAGTTGAAACATTCTGGCCGGCATTCAAATAGAACGCCAACCCGTGGATATTAGACAAGAGAGGAAACACACTCAGCAATAAAAAATACGACAGGATTCAAAGCTGCACAATTGAGGAACTTCATATCACGCGTAC